CATTAAAGATGTTAGCAATTTTATTTATATCCCATCCCGTACCTTGATGGTTGAACAAAGTTGCTACCGTGGCCATTATGAAATTATGAATATAGATCTCTAAAATTCTGAATATAGAGTTATAAAATTATGAACATATAGCTCTAACATTATGAATTTGCATTTATGAAATTGTGATTATATTGATATGAAATTATTAATATATAATATACAATTAGTAAATTGTTAGTATTATATTCTGTTATTATTAATTGACTACCTGCATTATATGTAAACACAGTGCATTGCAAGACAGTGAAATTGATGGTGAAGATGTAACTGTCCGAAAGCGGCCAACAACAAGATTCAAGAATATCCCGCTGAATCTAAGATCACCTTTCTGGACTAAGAATGAACAATTTGTCCACAATGCAACTGTTAGAGAGAAAATCATATCTAACTATGCATTCCTGGATGTTTCTAGTGATTATCCATCAGAGTATGTTTCAATCTAAACTAAATACTTGAATATTTAAAATGAATTAGCATGAATTTATTTGTTTATTTATTTATTTGTTTATTTTTTTTGTGTTGTAGAGAGATACTATTCAGCTCTAATGACTTCTATTTGACAAGAGGTCACTTCCACACACTGAGCACTGGAAGGTTGACAACAACTTACTTGATGTATGGTCATTGCGTCTTACAATTCTTAACACACAACGAGCACTGGGGCAACCAAAGTGCATCTACTTCAGCATATCAGTACATGTAAGTGTGTTATGATTTGCAACAAACTATTTTTTAAATTTGAATTCACATTAAAAGTTCTGTGGTTATATAGTTATGAAATTGAGAATGTAAATCTCAATAATTCTGGATATATATTCTAAAAATTCTGAATACAGAGTTGTCAACTTTTGAATAGTAATTTCTGAATTTGTGAATCTACATTATCGATAATCTTGGTGTTAATACATGATTTTTTCCATAGCTGCAAATTGACCCAGTTGATTAGTGGATGAAGGATCTTCCACTAGAGAAAAAGAAGAAAATTTTCAATGACAGGTTGCGTTATGAAATAACAAGATTTGGCAATCTTGACATCACTGATGCAAATTTGGTAATTTCTATTACACAAACTAAATTTTTATTTATTACATCCAAAAAGACTGACAACGCTTTAATTCTTCCTTATTTGAAATTTAGATATTTTTCCGTGTGCTTCGACATGGTCACTATTTTGTTGTCTGCATCAACACCATTTCAAAGACAGTCCAAATTATAGACGACAAATCCCTACCCCCTGATGTTTTAGAAGTGGACAAATATCAAGATTGCCCACATTTACTGGTAACTTGATCAAAAACTTGAGTCTCTTATCATTTCTTATATATTTACTATAAAACATTATGAACACTGAAATTTTTTTTTTTGTCCAGCTGACTGCATTCAAGGAATACCTTGCAACAGAAACTTCGCCCCTGCTATGGAAATTAGATGACATTCCTGTAGAGTTTGTAATATGCACTGGAAAGAGCTGGATAATGCAACTGACTGTGGTGTATATGTCATGCGACATCTGGAAACGTATAAAGGAATTCCAAAAAAATGGACATCTGGATTTAGGCGCAATACTCGTGTAAATGTAAGAGTATAAAATATATTAGTTATACATTAAATTTTCTTAATTGTTTTTTGACATTTCATTAAACTGATTATTTAATGTTTTTTCTTTCTTTCATTTTTTTGAAGGCTGACTTCATTTGTGAACTCAGAGCTAATTACGCAGCTAACATTATCACATGGAGTGCGAACACCGTAAAACACACAGTTATGAAGGCAGCAAAGCAGGTGTCCAAAAAGAAGTGAGACTGTTGTTGTGGTCTATAAACTTGGTGAACATGAAAGCAATGATTTTGTGAATGTTTAATTCTGAACTTATGACTGTGGGTATCTTTTTTTGAAAGGCATGAATTAGACACCTAATTATGACAATCTGGTGTTTTTTGAAAGGCATGAATGTAGACACCTAATTCTAACAATCTGGTGTTATGTAATGTGAGCATATATTTCTGCTCTTTTGAATGTATGTCTATTAATATGAACACATCGTTCACATAGTGTGAACATTTAACTCTAAAGTGTTTTGAAATTGTCAAAATGTACTTCTGTAGTTTTAATTAGAAATTATGAATATATAGTTGTGAGATTATGAACATGTAGTTATAAAATTATGAATTCACAGTTATTAGATTATGAACATGTAGTTATAAATTTATGAATATACTGCTCTAATATTCTGAACATAAACCTTTAATAAATTATGAATTTACACATATGAACTTATGAATGTATAGTTGTGTGATTATGAACATGTAGATATAAAATTATGAATTCACAGTTATGAGATTATTAACATGTTTTAAAAATTTATGAATTCACAGTTATGAGATTATGAACATGTATTTATAAATTTATGAATATACTGCACTGATATTCTGAACATAAACCTCTAATAAATTATGAATTTACACATATAAAATTATGAATATATAGTTGTAAGATTATGAACATGTAGGTATAAAATTCTGAATTCACAGTTATGAGATTATGAACATCTAGTTATAAAAATTATGAATTCATAGTTGTGAGATTATGAACATGTAATTATAAAATTATGAATATACTTCTCTAAGATTCTAAACATAAACCTTATATAATTATGAATTTACACATGTAATTATGAATTTATATTTATCAAATGAAATTATGAATTTACAGTTATGAATTTATGAATATACAGGTCTACAATTCTGAACATAGAACACTTTGACATTATGAACGAATAGATCTACAATTATGACCAACTAAATCACAAATACTATGAACATAGAGTGCAAAACTTGTGAAATTGAAAATAAAGAATTATGAACATAGAATTCAAATTAACCAGTTCTTTAATAAAAGGCAAAAGAATAGTTCACATTGTGTTCATCACATCACTATACTGTATTTCTATTAACCAGCTCTATTAACACAATCTCAGTCTAGAACTACATTGTCATCTAAACTCTTATTAAAATGAACAAACTGTAAACCCCCAGAACTTGGATGTACAAGGTACCCATCCCGAGCAATCTCCGATATATTTTCCAAAACCAAAGACTGTATACTGCTCTTTGTAATTGAAGCAACCTTATTTGCAGCACTCTTTCTCGCCCTTGCTATACTGTATTTCTTCTCGATAACACTCCTCCTCCTTCTATTACGCTCACCTTTCAACCTCTTGGTTAAAGGATTTTGTACAACACCACTTGAGGATGAAACACCGCACTCTTCAATGTTTACTTCCCCAATCTCAGCTTCAACCTTTTTCTTTGCATTCTCGACAGCTTCATCACAAAACTGTCTAGCAACACTGTTGTCTTGACTAGAAACAATCAACCTTTGGAATTTTCTACTAATCTCAACAACCCAAATTGAAGAGGGGACACCAACGTTATAGAACAAAGAATCAATTTCCACATTTCTACCATCAACAACCTTTTTAGTCAATCTTTCAGAATGTATTTATCTGGAATACAAGAAACACAATTCACATGAAGTATACGTAAACAATGGCAGCAAAGTATTCCCAATTCAGAAAACAACTTGCAACTACAAGAAATTTCCACATTGATTGGCTTAAAACTTACTTCATGTCTTATAATATCTATATCTGGTCGCCACACATGATACTTGTATTCAAAATCATCATTCAAAACAATTTCTTGATGACAAGAACTACCTTTCATAAATTGTTCCTCAAACAAATAGTAGATCTCAATAGTATATACCTCTCTAGCATGTGAAAGAAGTTTCACATGCTCCATCATCATAGCAGGTAGTCCTTGTGCACACCTAAAATCTTCACCATTTTCTTTACTTCTCCATTCAGAAATAACGCCAACAAAATATGAGTAGAAATCACAAAGACCGGCAGTCTTAGATAGCCTTCTAGAAATAGAATGATTCGTAGTTTCACTCCTTTGGGAAGATAGAATGCCCCCCAAAAAATAATCCTTGCTAAATGCTGGACATCAATTCTCCCTACAATCATAAAACTTTTCAAACCAAGTATTCTTATGACACTTATACTCAGTCACCATCCTGAAAATATACAGGACACATTCACTAACAGCACGTTTGGTTCACGGGATAAGTTTTGAGGTAATAGAAATGCTATTCCATAAGGAATGGAATATGCAAGGAATAGAATAGGAATTGCATTCTATTGTTTGGTTCGCGGAAGGAATAGACTTTATGAATTATATTACAGTGTTTGGTTGATTTAAATAATAGAAATGAAATATGTTTTAAAAAACATAAATACCATTATAAAAATATGTGATGGTGGCGGTGGTAGTGCTAGTGGCGGTGGTGGTGGCGGCGATGGTGGTGATGGTGGTGGTGGCAGTGGTGGTGGTGGTGCTGGGGTGGTAGTGGTGGTGGTGGCGGTGGCAGTGGTGGGGGCGGCTGTGGTGGTGGTGATGGTGACGGTTGTGGCAATAGTGGTGGGTAGGGGTGAGCAAACGGTCGGTCGGTTACATAACCGACTGAATAACCGACCGTGAAATTTGACCCTCGTAACCGACCGAAACCGATCGAGGGTTGTTCCATGACCGACCGACGGTTATCGGTCGGTTACCAAAAAACCGATTTACAAAAAAAATCAATCAAAATCTAAAATTCTAAATTCAAAATACAAATAAATACACACTATTTTGTTTACTGCCAATGGCCCAATGCCCAAATTCAAATTAGTCTAGGATTACTAGCTGTCTACTGTCTAGCACACTGCCAAGTACAAATTAGTCTTACAAAAACAATCCAATTGTCTTACAAAAACAGTCTAATTGTCTAAGTACAAATCACAAACAATCCAAACCAAAGTCACAAACAGATATTAATTTAATACAACGATATTAAACACATAAATTCATAGACTCCCCAAAATAACATTCTGAAAAAGTGTCAAGCTTCAAATCTTCAATTCCTTCAAACCTATCAAATGAAATATAATAAAACCATTAGTATTATTAGTGTTAATACGATAAAACAATAGCAACTATCAAGTGAGCATTTTACCTTACGATAGTAGAACTCTTCCAAATTGGCAACTTCTATTGATCAATCACAGGCTCCAAACAAATCTTTGAAAATTCTAAAATCACATCAAATAATATAAAAATAATTAGATAAAGATAAATAAGAAATTATAAGTTTATAACTTGAATATTTGAACACAAAAAATAATAAGTAAAGAAAGGATGTACCCAAGTCAACTTTATCAATCTCTCCAGTTTCGTACTCAATTTCACCATCACTTGAGTCTTCAGTTTCATTCCTTAGCCAATCTTGAGCACAAATGAGAGCTTGTACAACTCTAGGAGTTAAAGAACTCCTATAACTATCAAGAACTCGACCACCCGTGCTGAACGCTGATTCAGAGGCAACAGTGGAAATAGGTATAGCCAATACGTCACGAGCCAAGCTTGAAAGGATGGGAAGTCTTTGAGCATTTGTTTTCCACCAATTAAGTATATCAAACTCATCATCCTCACCACCATTCTCAAGTTGTTCAGCAAGGTACTTATCCAACTCTGTGATCTGATTAGCACAACCAGTTTGTTCCAAATACTTTAAGAATTCCTTATTAACAGCTTTTGGTTTCCCTTTCTTTGGAGGTTGAGGTATAGAAGGGATTTCAGCACTTACAAGCTCACTTGATTGAAAAGTCTCATTTATTGAAGATGATGAAGATTCATGCAACCTCTTGTATTGATTAAACAAATCAGCCATAACTTCTCTAAGATTTTTAGACAATTTAGAGGCTTCATCATCCGAATACATCCGTTTGAAACAAAAATCAGCATACACATACTTTCTCCTAAGGTCAAGCACAGTTGCAACATACAACAACATATTCATTTTGTCCACATTTCCCCAATACTTGTCAAATTTATCCTTCATCCTTTGTGCCATTGCACTAAATTTTGGATCCCTACTCTTTATCCAATCACGCAAAATAGAATACACTTCACAAATTTCAGGAAAATAAGCATTTGAAGTAACATACAATGAGCCAGAAACTTTCACAGTAAGATCATAGAAGTGTCCCAAAAACATGCACAACCTCCTAACATTTTCCCAATCATCATGGTCCGGAATTCCTTCACTATTTCGGAGGTCTTGACCATAATGTGGATCAAACTCCTCAAATCTCTCAAAAGCTCTCTCAAATTTTTGTGCCGAATCCAACATAAGGTAAGTAGAATTCCACCTAGTGCATACATCTAAGCTTAACAAAGCTTTGGATTGAATTTTCTCCAATTTAATACATTCTTTAAACTTCTCCAATCTAGATGGTGATTGTCTCACGTATCTCACTGCCCCTCTAACACGACAAATTGATTCATTACTTTCTTTCAAAGCATCATTGACAGCCAAATTAACAATGTGGGCAACGCATCTCATGTGAAGAAATTTCCCACCTAAAATAGAACTACTCAAATTATTAAACTTCTTCCTCAAATATCCCGTGGCAACATCATTTGAGCTAGCATTGTCTACTGTGATAGTGAAAACACTATCAAGTCCCCAATCACGCAAACATTTCTCAATTGCCTTACCAATATCTTCCCCCTTATGACTAGAAATTGGACAAAAATTAAGTATTCTTTTGTGCAATTTCCAATCATTATCAATATGATGCACTGTAAGACACATATAATTCACCCTTTGCAATGATGTCCAACTATCAGTCGTAAGACAAACTCTAGCACAAGAAGATTTCAAAAAGTTGGACATACTTTTCTTTTCATCCAAATAAATTTTGTAACAATCTCTAGCAACAGTCCATATAGATGGCATACGAAACCTAGGACAAGCAGTAAACATGCATTTTTTAAACCCCTTTGCTTCCACAAACCTAAAAGGCAATTCATCAATTATGATCATTTCAACCACAGACTTTCTAATTGCAGTTGCATCAAACTTCCCATAACTTAAAGACTCCCCTTCTGATGATGGGACAATTAGTTCAGTTTGAGTAGGGTCAATACTACTATGAGGACATTTTGGGCAGCTTCTAACATGAGCTTTTAATGAGCTTGTGCCATTCAATTTAGGGTCAGCATGAAGTTCTTTTGCACAATAATTACACCTAGCTTTTTTTTGATGTGCATCATTTTCAAATTTGGTAAAATGATCCCATACCTCAGATTTTGCCCGGCTAATTTTTCGTTTCTTTGACTTAGATGCACCGGGTGTTTTAGTACTTGCATTTGCATCAAGGCTAACCCCTTCCATTTCGATTGCTTCATCTTCAGAATCAGACATCTCAATTGAGTGCGTTGACATCTACAATTTACACACTAATAAGAAAATTAAAAACAGTTTACAGTTTACACAAAATTAAAAACTGTTTACAGTTTACACAAAATACACAAATGCTTAATCAGTTTATAAGTTATAACACAAAAATTTAAAATACTTAATAAACTATTTAAGTATTAACAGTTTATATTAACAGTTATAACACAGTTTATATTTTATATTTTATAATTTAACACTAAACAGTAAAATTATAATTTAACACATAGTTTATATTTTATATTTTATAATTTAACACTAAACAGTAAAATTATAATTTAACACACAGTTTATATTTTATAACACAAAATACACAATGCATAATCAGTTTATACTTTATAACACAAAAATTAAAAATACTTAATACACTATTAACAACTAATAAACTATTAACAAAAACATAAACACTTAATAAACTATTAAGTGAATAAGTATTAACAGTAAAAATATTAAAAATAAAAATTAAAAAATTTACCTTTGGAAGACGGAAGACCGTAGACCGGTGAGTCGGTGACTCCGTGTGACCGTGTGGAAGCCGTGGAAGGAAGAACTGAAGAGTGAAGAGTGAAGACTGTGACTGCCTAGCTGCCTCCCTGGTGCTTGTGGCATGAGCCTCTGTGCTTCTGTGGTGAAGAACTGAAGTCTGAAGACGGAAGACTCTTCAGTCTTCAGTCTTCACTGATGAGATGCGAGAGGCGAGAGCGGAGAGGGGAGCCGGGAGCGACTGAGCGAGAGACGTGAGTTGAGAATTTGAGATTAGGGATTTAGGGTTGTCTCACTTGTTTGACTTGTCTTTACTCTCTTTGAAGCTTTGTCTGATTACAGCTTATGGGTCGTGGGCTTGGGGCCTTGGGCTATGACTATTAAATATTAACTATGGATAGTCATATTAACTATGGGCTTGACTATCTAATATATTAATATATATATAGGTCACCGACCGATAACCGACCTCCACTAACCGTATTATAACCGAAAAACCAATAATTTTTTAACATTAATAACCGTGACCGACCGAAAACAAAATTTTTCGGGCGGTTCGGTTATCGATTAGCGGTTTTCGGGCGGTTAACCGATATTTTGCTCACCCCTAGTGGTGGGGGCGGCGACGGTTGTGGCAGTAGTGGTGGTGGCGGCGGCGGTGGTGCTGTTGGGTGGTGGTTCTGGTGGCGGCGACGACGGTGATGGTGGTGGCGGTGGTGGCGGTGGCGGTGGTGGTGCTGGGGTGGTAGTAGTGGTGGGGGCGGTGGCAGTGGTGGGGGCGACGGTTGTAGCGATGGTGGCGGTGGTGGCGGCGGCGGCGATGGTGGTGGTGGTGGTGGCGGCGATGACGACGACGGTGGTGAAATAGGATAAATTTATATATAGGATAAAAAAAATTAGGTTAAAGAAAGGGGTAAAAAAGAAAATAGATTATAAAATATATTCCTGAGCTTTCAGTAATAGGCTAATACCAGGGGGCTCTAGTAATAGCTATTACCTTATTTGAGGTAATAGGCTATTACCAGGAATATTATTCCTGATAATAGAAATGATTACCAAACAAAGGAATAGGCCTATTACTAGGAATGTTATGCCATTCCCGGCCGGCAAATTATCCTGTGCGCACATTGCAACGTGCGCACGTTTCAAAAACGGCGTCGTTTTCAGGGAAAACGACGCCGTCCTAATTAAAAAAAAATCGAGATTTTAGCCGTTAACGGCGTTATTTTTTATTTGGCAGCCAATTCTTTTGAGATTTTGGTAGTTGCAGTCGTGATTTGGTAGTTTCCATTCGCAAGTTTCGCAATTTTATTTCCTTCTTTCCTTTCGCTTTTTGTTGTGCGTTGGTGTTCTGTTTTGCGTTATTGAGTTCGTCGATGGAGGAGGCAACAGATCGGGGAGATCTAATCGGAGAGGGTTTGTCTACGATTCCAGGTTTGTTTCCATTCGATTTTTGCGTTTTTTGCATTTCATTTATGTGATTTTTCTGCTATTTGAGATTTATGAGTTTAAGATTTGTTTTCAAATTTATATTTGTGTCTGTTATTGGGGAGAATTTGCAATGTATGTGATTTTTGGTTGTTTTTATTTGTGATTATTGCAGAATGTGTGGTTTCTACTTTGCATACAATCCTGAGAGTTATACATTCATAAATTTTGAATCTGTAAATCCATAATTTTTGAGTTCTACATTCAGAATTTTTGAATTGTATATCCTCAATGTTATTTGGTAATCTGTATCTGCTTGTAAAATCCATATTCATAAATTGCAAGTTACATGTTCATAATTTTACACTTGTATATTCATAATTTTTACTGCTATGCTCCTCTGTTTTCTATGTTTCAGTGAATGAAGATTTGGTGGGTGATTCATTAATTGGTGATCAATCAGATGTTAACATTGATGGATCTTCTTCGATTCCAGGTTTTTTCATAGTTTTTTACTGTGTGATGTGTGGTTTGAAACCATTGAATTGTGATTCATAATATTTGACATATATATTCATCGTATTGTACATTCCTGTTATGTGTTATATGTTTGGATGAAAATTTTATTCTTTTTGTAGAGCATGGCTGGATTTATTCGGCATTCCCCATTCTCCCTCTACTTAGGAATTATATTTCCATCAAACATCAATAGTTGTTATAGTTGAGGTTATATTTTATAATTGCAGCTGTTGAAGACTTGGTTGGTGCTGTAGTTAGTAATGGTGATGAAGCTTTTGAGCTATACAACGAGTATGCCTATAGAGTTGGTTTTAGTGTGAGGAAGGGTCAACAACGTTACAAGGCCTCTACTAAGACAATTCAAATGAAGAGGTTTTTCTGTCATAAGGCTGGTTTTAAGGCAAAGGCATATAGTGGTGTCAATTTGTATTCAAAAATTGATATAAGGACGGGTTGTGGTGCATTTGTTCAGTTTGATGTGGGTGGGGATGGGAGGTGGACAGTTACAAAACACGTGAAAGATCACAATCATGAGTTATGTGGTTTAGACAAGAGTCATCTACTTCGTTCACATAGAAGAGTGGGGAATAATCAGATTTCCTACTTAAAAGATCTGAAAAAGAGTGGGGTTGCAGTGGCGGATGGTATGAGGTTGTTGAAACATCAATGTGGGGGGTCTCCATTTGTTGGGTTCACTAATCGAGATGCTTACAATTCACTGGCTTATGATAGTTTGAAGTGTTTGGATGGAAATGATTCTAATTCCTTAATTGAAATATTTAGGAGGAGGCAGTTGAATG